CTCTAGATCTCCCTACCAGGCCTGTACACACCACATAACTCAGGTTACATGGCAGCGTAACCAAACCCCAGCTCCGGCCAGCGTTGTTCTGGCATCGGCCAACCTTAAACTTGTGGATATGATGGTGAAACCCGCAGTCGGACGATCTGCTGAACACCAACACCACAACGAAGGTTTCGAAATATTCGGCTCCCGTCGTGCACTGGTCGTGCTCGACATACCCAGACCACCTAAGCCCTCCCCCTAATGTCCACTATGGCAAGACTTATCATGGTGTAGCCACCATCTCCATCGCTGTTGTGCCCTAGTTCCGTCCTACCAACTAGCCCCCTCGCCAGCAGGACGCGTCATATCCTTCCAACTAGTAACCCCACTTAGTCAAACGACACTCACCCCTACATATGCGACCCCAACATGGAGGGTTAAGCTGGAGAGAGAAAAAACCACCATCCAAATTCAAGTACAGCATACACGATCAATGCAAAAACAAGGTACTAGAATACAACTCTGCAGGGCGAAATTCCGACACTTGCGAATTTAGGGTTTTTAACTCGATTAGAAGATCGATATCCATGCACGAAAACTTTAATGGAAAAACAGAACTTAGATCAAAAATAAGATTCTACTGTTTGAAATCGAAGATTATGACATCAGAACCACAAAACATCAAATCGTGAAGCAAAGTTTTGGAAATCAAGATTAAGAGATTAATTTTGGTGTCTAAATAAACTTACGAATCTTACGGCTCTGATGTTTTTTTTTTTTTTTTTTTTTTTTTTTTTTTTAAGGACAAATGCTCCAGTCTATTCGTGGGGAGCAGCACGTGCTGGGAACCAGGCCCATCGTCCCATATAGAGTTACACAAGTCATTTGAGAAACCGGGGCCATTACCCAACTTTGACTGAGAATCAATCTGAGAACTATTGAAGAAATTCGAGAGAATTGAAGGACAGGTTGAAAAACTACTGACCTCTTTTCGAATGCTCAGAACCCCTAGACTCCCAAACAAAACTCTCTAAAATTGTCCAACACTGTCTTATTCCCTGTCGAGCTCACCCAGGCCACACCCCCACCCAGCTAGGTTACAGAGCAACACGACTTGCCCCAACTCCGGGCAGTGTCATCCCAACAGCTACCCTTGGTTGTCCCTTGGAATGCCCACCCCAAAGCATCCCCAGATCTCTCTACCAGGCCTCACGGAGTCACGCTCCTTCAATCAGCAGGTTACAGGGCAACAACCCAGCACCGGCCAGCGTCGTTCTGGCATCGAACAACCACATATCCATGAATGTAACGGTATCAAACAGCCTAAAGCGAGTTGCTAGAAGTCCCCAGAATCCTAAAACATTTTTTTTTTTTTTTATCAATGCTATTTGAGATAAATTTGGGAGACTATCCACCAGCGAAAATCCCAGCAATTGTCTTCAAACACTAAGCGCCAGAGGGTCCTAACAACCTCGAAGTCCTCAGACAGTCTTATTCCCTACCAAACTCTACCAAGCCTCTCACCCCCGCTATAGGTTACAGGGCAAAGCAACTCACCCTGACTCAGGCCAGCATCGTCTTCGATAGGAACCCTTGATTATCCCGTGAAATGCCCCCCCTAGGCATTCCCAGATATCTCTACCACTCAAGCTCCCGTGACGCCCAACCTCACGCCCAATGCGATTTCCTGATCGGAGTGGGGTGTGGGCCTGGAAGTGCGAAAAGGGGTGTGCCAAGGATTTTTGGGAAAGTGGGGGTGGAGTCCCTGGTCAGAACTGAGATCTCCTGTGGCAGAGTTTTTCGGGGGCACGGGTGCAATTTGGCAGAGAGGGCGGACCACTTCTGGTCATGAGGCAGATGGCATGCGCGGGTCATTTATGGCCGTTCGATCCATCTGTGTTGAGGACGGTGGTTCATCGAAAGATCCCTTCGGGGTGGGTGTGATCCCGATGAGTCAGGTCGTCGGTTGCCGCCACGTGGCGCCGGTCGTCGCACGTTCTGGTTGGGCCCTCGCGGTCCCGAGGCTCTCTGGTTGCCGCGTTGTCGGCAATTTCCGCAGGGCGTGCGGGGCCAGTAGGGGGCTATGGCTTTCCACGGGATGACTCTGAGTTGATGATACAGGAAAGAAGACGAAAGGGAGGGAAGTTAGTGGAGATAACGACAAAGCCAGGGGAAATAAAGTAGTGGGTGTGGTCCGAAGTGGGGAAATCAGAACACCGTGGATTGCTGGTTGTGGCACAGTGAAACTCCCTAGGACAAAGTCCGTTCTCGGTTAGGCAGGGGAACCTCTGTCGGAGGCACTCCTCAATCCAAGGGGTGAAGTACTCCGGGTCGTACGACGACTCTGAGCTCCGGGAGCGCGTCATTATGTCATTGTAGAGCCGCGGAATTCCTATTGACGTGTCTTCGTTGATTGCGATCATTGCCTGTGAGTACGTGTAGGCTGTGCGAATCGAGTCGCGCTTACATGTGTTCACACGGGATGATTGCTTCGTTGCTGACGCGGAGTGGCCACATCCAATTAGGCAATATCCCCGCAATCGTTAACCTTTTTATATGTGGTGCGTTGTGAATCGACGCACGGGCACACGTGTAAGTGCGCAGATCAGATCGCACCTACACGCGCCCCTGCTTGGCGTTCGCTGGTTTCTGGGCAAACCAGCTATCCTATCATGTAATCACTCCGTAATTTTTTAGCCGGCAAGATGCAACAATCGCAACATCTCAATCAATGGGTAAACAAGAACGGAAGCATTATTGATGACTGCGCAAAATTCCTACCCTTCTCATGAATGCATCAAGACGATTAGCAAAGGCAAAAATCATGCATACAGACAAGCAACTAGATATAACATCCATTCATTCAACATAATGCACACAATATCCGAGATGGAAATCGCAAGGACGAGCGTGGGCAAAAGAAAACCAACCCAAGATTCTGAAAACAAAAATGGGCAAATCGCCCTGTTCCGAAATCAAAATTTATATACACCAACAGAGAGGGAGAAAAAACAAAAGAAACAGCAAATCCACGTCCATCAACCTCTACTCCCTCTTCCTCTCTCACTCTCTCCGATGCGGACAGTCCATCGTCGCGCACCAACCCACGAAGCCGTTACCCCACTTAGTTCTCCCACACCCGTCAGGTTCGCCCGTGCCCACAGTCCGTCGTGGCCCGCGTCAACCCCGCGCGTTTGGCACCAGCTCGTGGGGTTGCCCGACTCCCACTTCAACTCACCTCTTCCTTTGCTCGTGAGCCGACCCTCGCTGATCGCGCTACCCCGAGCTTCCACTTAGCTGGTTAAGAGAGGTAACTAATCGTGCAGCCGGAATTTATAGCGTGCATGCATGCGCGAAGAACACGGAATTACAAGGACTTAGTAGGAAGGTTAGGAGAGGGAGCGCCTACGTTTTGCAGGACCCGATCGCTGCGTGGGGGACGTAACCACTCTCCACACATCGATCCGATCACGCAGACCGCGGCTACCAAAACGCAGCAAAAAGAAAGAGAAGAAGGGCGGGAAAGGCGAAGCACAAGAAGAAAGATACAGTTACAATGGCGCCCGCCCGAAATTACAGTTACGCACATGATTAAAGGCGCCGACTAATCAGAGTTCCGTTGCTGCCGCACGAAAAAGCGTGTAAGCAAAAAGCGTCGCGTGGCCAAGAAAAATCCTAATTGCAAAATTCCTAAATTCCTATCTAATGCAGAAAATCAAAGAGCACAAGCATCGAAAAGGAAGTTCGAAATTCCGAGAGCCATCAGGGCTCGACAAGATCTGAAGAAAAATAATTCAAAAAGAAATTAAAAAAAAAAGAAGCAAAATTCCCGCGTGATGTCCGCGCCTAAAAAGTCCCAGTCCGAAACAAAAAGTAGCAACAACAACATTTATTAATCGCGCGTATGACAGCGCGCCACTCACAGAGCCAATCAACCAATCGATCGTCCCGGGGTCCACCTGGGCCTGAACCAGCCATCCGAAAGGAACCGACGCAAAAAGACGAAGAAGCGAGGACACCGATGCAATTTCCCATCCATCCCAATCTCCCGTAATTGGCCCATCGTTCCTAGCTTAGGAGTCTTTAGGACCCCTCATTGCTATCGCGCAGAAAATCGCGCGGTGCAGAAATCGGTTCGTCACATATGTGACGCCTAGGGGGTTCCAATATTAGCAAGCTCCTGCTTGCTTGTTGACACGTGTCGATCTCTCTAATCGATCGATACGTGGAGCTTTTCCTTTTGTGCCACTTACCGTATGAATGCGTGTGGATGTCGTCTTGTGTGGCAAACACAACTCTAACTACGAATTCCTCAGGAAGGACCATTGGCAATCCAAGGAGGGGCTCACACGTGTCATCGCAGTGACACGCGCACCAATCAACCGATCACCAGTGTCCAGTGGGGAGAGGGAAGGGACGACGGTACATGGGTGCATGGCGAGGGGGAGGGTTAATCGGGAGAGGTGGCAAGAAACTGTCCAACCTCGCCACCGTTTTCGGAAGTTCTTGATATCGAACGATCCGGTGGAAACGGGGGAAGCGATTACCACTATGGGGGAGAGAAGCGAGGTAGTCTGGATACAGGGTGGTGAAAGTGCGAAAGAGTGCCGCGCGGAAATGGTCGTAGTTTTCGCATGTGGGGATAGTCCCCGTAATCATGCAGTAAACTTCGACCATATTGTGGCCTCGCCACGCGACGCTCAGAAGAAGGATATGGAGGTAGAAGTCAAGGAGGGCGCATCGGGTCGAGGGGTGGGGATACATTGTGACAATAAGGCGGGTGGCGTAGAAGAAGCGAAAGGTATCGATGGGAAAGGGGTTGCGGGGGACGGCGGGATAACGACCGGGGACGAAGCCCGATGCCCCGCATCAGTACAAGCTCGAACTGGTGGACGGTCGGTGGTGGAGGGGGAGGGGGATTGGCTTCGTCGCCACCTTGTCGGTGCGGCCGAAGTCTCGGCAGCTGGGTCCCCATCCTCGGGCTTGGGCGGCTCTGGATCTCGACCGGATTGTCGGCGACCTGCTGATTGGCTCCGCTGGCAAATTCCAGCTGTCATTTTCCGGCCGCGATTTCTTATCTCCTGCGTGCCGCCTCGGGGTCTTCCGCCTGTGCGCCCGCTTGCTCTCCTTCCTCCGCGGAGATCTCGCACTCCGACCCCTCCAACTCTAGCTCCTCCTCTTCGTCATCTTGTTCTTCTTCTTCCTCCTGCTCACTTTGCTCCCCTTCGCTGTGTTCGCTGTAACTCCCCTCTTCGGGAGTTTCTTCCTCGTCGTCCTTCTCTTCTTCTTCTTCTTCCTGCTCACTTTGCTCCCCTTCGCTGTGTTCAATGTAACTCCCCTCTTCGGGAGTTTCTTCCTCGTCGTCCTTCTCTTTTTCTTCTTCTTCTTCCTCTGCTGCTATCGCCTCGTCTTCGGTGGCCGTTCGATCCCGGAAGTAGGTGGGATCGATGATCTCCCGCGGGCTCAAATAGTCCCGCTGTGATGGCGGGTTGTAGTCGTTTTCCGGCTCCTCCAGGCACGCTGACCACTGAAGATACGGCGCCAAGGTGCGCGTGGGAACGTGCGGGATCGGGCTATTGTCATTTTGCGAGACGATCTCCAGGGGCAGATCGTCGGCTAGCTGCGCGAGTGGAACCGTAAGCTCTAGGACGATCGGTTGGCGATGACTGGGCCGCACCGATCCGAACAGGAATCCGAGAAGATCGCCCTCCACGTCCGTTCTCCAGGCCTGGATAATCAGCCCCTCCAAGTACTCGCTCCAGTGGCGATGGTCTTCGTCCCTTGTCCACGTGATTTGTACCCCGACCAGGCACGCCGAAAGCTCGACGAAGTGCTTGCGCCTAAGTCTCCACTGCCCAAGATCGAGGAGGGGGACTGCGAGCGACTCTAGGCAAAAAGAGAGACGAGGGTGGAGACTAGATTGCCAGAAGGTGGGAAGGAGAGATGGGAGGGAAAAAGTGGAGAGTTGGGAGTGGTTCATCGAGGAGGCTGGAAGGGGATAAGCTCTGGCAGCACCACCGCCGGCTCGTGATGGAATGCTTGGATCCCTTTGAGCTCGACACCGTCTGTGGGGAAAAGATTATCCCCTCGGCGCGTAAGAGAGCAATTCCACTCCATGGCCAGTTGCTGCGCCCACTTCCTCGGTGTCGTCCGGATGGCGGTATGCCGGAGCGCATTGACCGTGCTGATGTCGCCGCTGAAGCCGACCACCGTGGACACGTGGCTAATCCTCGGAGCTGATCGCCGATGGATAGCCACCGCTTCTGCCAGTACCACCACCTGAGGACTGCCTGCGAATCGGAACTCAGCCGCTGCATACACTCCCGAAGTGCAGAAGAACTTCGCCATTCGTAGAAGATCCTGGTTGAGTCGTGGATGACACACCTGCCAAATCGCCGAGATGTAACCCCATGGCGTTAAGAGATGGTCACCGAGACCCCGTGGCGTTAAGAGATGCTCGCCGAGGGCTTGCTCCGTGAGAAAGCTCATGGCGATGGTGGGGGGGACGGGGTGTCTGAGAAAGAACGAGATGAAGAAGGATAGACAGGTGATAAGCAGTCGTCGTCCTCTTCTTCAGCGGAGGAGGAGGCAGATGAAGGCGAAGATGGGGAAGAAGGAAGGGGACGTAGATAGGACACGTGGCGGATGATCGGTCGAGTCGATCGGCTACCGGAGACTTTAGGCGCAAGCCGCACGGTGTTCACGCCGTTCGGTCCGAGTTCAATCATGCGGAATCGCCCGAAGAATCGTGGCGCTAGTTTATCCTGACGAGCACATTTCCTCACCTGCACGATGTCCCCCAATTTGCACTGGGGCCGTGGACCTGCGTTCCCGTTCCGGGCCTCGTAGCTTCGAACCTGTCGGCCGTAGGCCAACTCGATCATTTTCCAGCGTTTTCGGGCTAGCCTAGGGAGGGACGGTTCCATTAGCTCCAAGTGCCGCTTGGCCTTGTCCTGAACCGTGGCCTTTGTGGGCCGCCGGTTCAGCGTTGACTCATCGGGGAGGCTCGGTATCGAAACGCAAGCGGCGCTATTGGTCCTTAATTGGAAGGGGCTCAGGCCCGTCGATTCGTGGGGCGTCCCGTGGTGGACCGCTAGGATGTGGTCGACGATATCGGGCCAAGGCCTTGGATCCCGTGCCGCGATGTTTCGTCGCAACACTATCTTTATCACCCTATTTGCGTTTTCTACCAGCCCGTTGGATTGTGACATGTGGGGCGCGGTGTTCCGCATAGCGACACCGTGTACGACCAGATTCCTCAATTCCGCCCCGTTATCGGTCAGGATCTCTTCTGTGTCCTGGTGCATCCCGAGAAAACGGTTAACATACCGTGCGATTTCGGCGGCTTGCCGCGTGCGACATGGGTAGGACTCGATCCATTTCGAAAAATGGTCAACAAACACCAACAGGACTGAATATTCATAGCTATTAGGACCAGGGGGTACCACAATATCAGTAGTATCCATGCTAACCCTTTGAAAAGGCCGCTCAACTACCATCGGTACTATCGATCTTGGCGGCTGAATTGGCGCCTTATCAGCAGCGCAGACTTGACAGTTTGCGACGATGAATTTCACATCGTCCCGAATATTGGACTTATACCATTCATTTTTGTTGATTGCCGACTCCATCATCCGTACGGCAAAATGGGCCGCCATTTCTTCGTGTGCTGTCTTCACCCAGTCATACCTCATGAATGGGTGCGGTACAACCATCCAAATCCCACTGCCGTCCGTTTTCCAATTCTCCAGCCTACCCTCGACCCATCGATAATCCCGAGCCCGTTCATTAGCCCTCCTCCGATCTTCCTTGGTGAAATCTTGGAGGGGGTTACCCACTAAGGTAGCAATCAAAGCGATATCGGTCCATACTTCAGCCTTTCTAAACTTCCGGGTCTTCTCCAATCCTTCTGACGTGGCGTCAAAAAAACGAGCCTCGGTCGGGATTTTGTCAAGCCGACACAAGGGGCACAACCACGGCTTACTGTCATTTTTGCATTGGATGCACGAGCCATGGGCTCGTGCAACGCACTGTCGACAATCTACCCATTCCGCATACCCTTTCCCGTAAGGACGCATGGAGACCGAATACACTCGAGAAATTGCTTCGCAAAAATAACAAAATTTATCAGGCAGGGAGAGAAGAGATGCGGAGGAGAGGGGAGAAAGAGGGGTTACGGGATTACCTCTGTCACCCATTGCCACCAGTCTGCTTCTTGCCACGTGGGAGAACTGTCACTTGTCCGTACTTAGGCCTGTTCGTCGACTCCGGTTCTTTCCAGGGAATGATTCCCTCGCCCTTAGGTACTTTAGCGGGTCGGTGTAGACGTGTCAGTCCATCTGCGTTGCCGTGTCTCTCTGTCTTTCGATGGATGATGTCGAAATCGTACTCCTGCAGGCGCACTGCCCAACGTCCAATCATGCCGGTGCAATTAGTGAGCTTCTTCGAAGCCAACAGAGGCTCATGATTCGTCACGAGGCGGAAATTCTGTCCGTAGAGATACGGTTGGAAGTGCTGGATTCCCCAAACTACTGCATAGCATTCGCCTTGAGGTGCTAAATCATTCCTCCGTTCGCCCGACACTGTTCGTGAAGCGTACTCGATGACGTGTTCGCGACCATCGTCCCCCTTCTGTGCTAAAATGGCGGAGATCGCTTCCGGTTGCCAGTCCGTTATAAAAATAATTTTTTTGGTAGGGTCCGGCCGGATCAAAATCGGTGCAGTGGTCAGGGCTTCCTTGAGTGCATCAAAGGCTTGCCCACACTCAGAGTCCCACTGCAGAGGCTGGTCCTTCCGAAGCAGGTTCGTGAGAGGCCGAGCAATCGCCGCAAACCCTTTGATAAAACGGTGGTAGTACGATGCCAGGCCTAAGAAGGCTCGAACCTGCGTCAGCGACGTGGGAACTGGGGCTTCTTTTACGGCCGCAACTTTCCTGGAATCCGGTCGCAGCCCTCCACGTGTCACTACGTACCCCAATAACAAAATTTCTGAGAGGAAAAATTCGCTCTTCTCAAGTGCAATCTTGAATCCAGCATCCCTTAGTGCTCCCAACATCCATTCGATGTGTTGCGCATATCCGTGATAGGTGTCCGAGTAGACAAGGATATCATCCATGTACACGATCACGCAGAAGTTGATCATTCCCTGAGTCAGTCGTGTCTTGTTGACGAAGTTCTGAAACGTCACGTTCATTGCTCGTTGAAACGTGGCAAGCGCGTTACAAATTCCCATTGGACATCGAACCCACTGCCACGTGCCTTCAAACAATACGAAGGCCATCTTCGGCCGATCTTCCTCCTTAACCAGAATGTGATGGAAGCCATGCCGAATTGCTAAAATAATTAGCACACCCAATCGCATCCAGCAAATCATCAATCCGGGGGAGGGGGTACACATCTTTGATTGTGATATCATTCAACTTACAATGGATCCGTTCTTTTTAGGTACTAACACTATCGGAAATGACCATGGTCCAGTGACAGGTTCGATCCAACCGCTTGCTTTGAATTCCCGAATTCGTTCGAGAGCCTTTTTCCGTTCTATCAGGGAGTATCGGTAAGGTTTGCAGTGAATTGGGGAATGATTCTCCGTCCGAATTTCGTGTTGAATGCCCAACGACAAGCCGATGTCAGTGTCCGTTGCACTAATCGCTCCCTGATATTCCATCAGAATGTCCGCAATCAAACGATGAATCTCATCAGGTACGTACTCGTCGTACTGTGGAACGTGTAATTTGAAAAGTTGATCCCAGATCCGTACGTCGACCTGCTTCGTGTGCGCTTGTTTCGCCACATCGGGTGGTGGCACAAAGATAAACGAATGGTCCGATCGCTAGGAGAACACCGTGGCCATCATCAGGGCGCCTTCCTCCCCGATGACCACGTGTCCTTCCGGGGTGATTCCATCGCAGATATCTTGCCATGATACGGTTTTCGTCGCGATCTTAACTCCGAGCTCATATGATTCAGCCTCGAAACGCTCAGGGGGTTCCAAAGAACTGGTTTCCGCTCCCAGGCGTAGCAGTCGTACTTCTTTTGCGGGTGTCAACAGGGACTTCGGGAGATATATGATATCGCAGTAGTGCTTTTTGTCTTTATATCGGGCGAGGAGAGGGGAGATTCCTTCGTACAGGGTTTGAGGGGGTTCCAAAGAATCAACCATCCTCATATCTGTACGAGGGTTCACCCAAAATCATCGCTTTGGTCCTTTGTATATTCCGACTAGTTACATGCATCGTTCTTGCGATCGTTCTGGGCGGCGGGTAATAAATGCGCTGTCGTGCTAGTTTCAGGATTTCCGGATCATTTTTCGTCACTGCTATCCGCATCCTTCGATGATGGCTCATCGCCTGCGGAGTTTTCCCAGGTGATCATGCGAAGAGTTCCCGCTATCATCGGAGAAACTCGCGGGACTGCGTTGATGGTAGTACGAAGAGTCAGCCTCATAGGTACAACATAGGGTTTTCCTCCCGTATTTCGTAGGATGATTGACCGTCGCTCGAAATCCAAGTTTGCTCTTAACGCCACAAGAGGGGGAAGGCCGAAAATGACGTCGTAGGTGTTTACATCTAATACCACAACATCTCCTAGCGCATGCACCTTTCCTAATCAAAAAGCGATGTTGGTCATTCATCCCACTGTCTTGATCTTTTCTTCGTCTGCCGAAACGAGCTGATCCTTTTTCGTAAGCATAATTAGATCGTTTTTCCTACCCGCCCTCTCAACTACTCACAACGAAATAGCCAAAACAACAGCTCCCAAATCAATGATTTCATTATACGAAATTCCCCATATTTCAATGTCGCATTCCGCAAATTTCCAAGGGATAGGTTTAATCCGTAGGAAATGATCGTCTTTCTAGATTAAGCCTACCCGTATCAGATCTGAAGTGCCTGTTGCATTTTCGTCCTGCGAGGGATTTTTAACCTTCCCGTTCGTTGTTCGATCGAGGACGAATTGTTTTCGATTTTCCTTACAGTGTTGTAGCATTCGCTCATTAGCTTGTTCAAAGATCGAGAGCAGATGGCCGATCGGAAGTGGAATCCGATGGTCTAAGGCTCGGATGATGCTCAACACATCGATTTTCCAGTGATGAAGGTGGGTCCTCCCGATTCTATCTCTTCTGGAGAAGGTCGTCACTCCGCTACTTCTTTCTGTTCCGGCGCCGGTCTGATCGTTCCAATCATTCCAGGCCCCGGATAACCAAGCGACACATATTGGTCTAACGGGATGAGCTCAACAACCTCTTCCCTGGTAGCTAACGCACTTCTTCCACCTTCCATTTCTTCCACCAGGGCTCCTACCCGTCTAGGTCCGCTAGCGATGGGGGCTGCTGCCATTGGTGCGACCCCGACCCATTGTTGCGGGGGCCGGTGAGGGCAATCACGGGCTAGATGCCCTGGTTGATGACATACATAACAAACATTCAGATTGCTTGCAGACCCTTTGAGAGCAGGCGTCGGGGCTAGTCCTTGTTGGATTGGAGTGGCACGTACTGCGATGGGCCGCATATTCCTCATCATAGCTTCTAGCCGAGCATTATGCTCTCGCTGTTCTTTTTTGCTTTCCTGGATTAGGCTAATTAACTTTTTGGTCAGTTCAAAAATAGAAGTGGACTCATTTGACCTTACAGGGTTCTCAATCGGTGACAGGGGTGCAGTCATTA